AAGAAGGGGAGCAAACATATTAAGAACAGTATGCCAGGTCCCTTGAAACATATGCTGTGCAGATGTTTCTTCCCTGCAGCGACTGTGTCAAGCAGCAAGGGTGGACCGGCTTCTGGCACCTCTCCCTGACTGCTCCTATCCCCAGCACATGCCCTCACCCCCTCCTGTCTGTGTCCATTGGTTGTGCTTATATGCATGCATACAAATCCTTTAGTTGATGTCTTATCTACCCACCACCCCTGCCATCTCACTGAGGTTTGACGGTCTGTTTGATGCTTTTATGTCTAGAGATCTATTTTTGTTCATCAGTTTAAGTTGTTCACTATATTGCACAAATGAGTGAGATCATGTGATATTTATCTTTCTCTTATTGGCTTATTTGGCTTAGCATAATGCTCTTCAGGTTTATCCATTCTGATGCAAATGGTAAGAGTTCTATTTTTACAACAGCATAATATTCCATTGTGTAGATGTACAACAGCTTTTTATTTATTATTTTTTAAATTAATTTCAGAGAAGAAGGGAGAGGGAGAGAGAGATGGAAACATCAATGATGATAATCACTGATGGGCTGGGCTGTGGGCTGCATTGTGCACCATGGGGTCTCAGCAGTGTTGGCTATGATTCAGTGGGCTGTTGCTCCAGGGTGGTGGCAGGGCCTGTGTCCCACTTGGGGGAAGCTGAATGTTGCTTCATTGGTGCCAGGTTTGTGGTGCCGCTTCTTTGTAAATAGCCAATGTGTGTCACAGCACCTGCTACTTGGAGCGTCTGCCCGCGGGTGGTCAGTACGTGTCAAAGCGACTGGTCCGATGGTCCTAGGGACACTTAGCATAGTGCCCTTTTATATGTATAGGTAGATTATGTGTGTTTACATGTCCTAAAAATCATGAGTAGAGGACTTTTTTTTTTTAATATGGAACGCTTCACGAATTTGCGTGTCATCCTTGTGCAGGGGCCATGATAATCTTCTCTGTATAGTTTCAATTTTAGTATATGTGCTGCCGAAGCGAGCACAATGAGTAGATGACTTTTGTATAGGGCTAAGTTGCCCTATCCTGCTCATACCTGAGCTCTAACTCTAACTTCTTATCTCCATGAAATGAGAGAGGAAAAAGAAGGTCAAACTGAGTTACTAACCAATATTATAAAAACAGCCCTTGCCCTGGCTGGTTTGGCTCAGTGGATGGAGCGTCGGCCTGCGGACTGAAGGGTCCCAGGTTCGATTCTGGTCAAGGGCACATGCCCAGGTTGCGGGCTTGATCCCCTGTAGGGGACGTGCAGGAGGCAGCCGATCAATGATTCTCTCTCATCATTGATGTTTCTGTCGCTCTTTCCCTCTCCCTTCCTCTCTGAAGTCAATAAAGATATATTAAAAAAAAAACAAAACAGCCCTAACTGGTTTGGCTCAGTGAATAGAGCATTGGCCTGTGGACTGAAAGGTCCCAGGTTCGATTCCGGTCAAGGGCATGTACCTTGGTTGCGGGCACATCCCCAGTAGGAGGTATGCAGGAGATAGCTGATCGATGTTTCTCTCTCATCAATGTTTTTTCTATCCCTCTCCCTTCCTCTCTGTAAAAAATCAATAAAATATATTTTTAAAAAATATTATAAAAACAAATGATCATATTACTCCATACGAATCCTTTCATTCTTTCAGGTGTATCTGACTCCTTCTAATAATCTGGAGTACTTCAGGACAATATGGCCAATTACATTTTGTTCCAAGTTGAATTTCCATACACCTCCTGGTCTTTCCTGTTTGGTGATGAGAATAGAAAAGAAAGCTATCAAGCCTTTATTACATTCATGGTCATTCAAACTTTATGCAGCTATGTCAGTGTGTGTCATGTAGTGCTGCATCAAATGGTGGTTATAAAGGAGTTGAGTTTTCTCACAAGGTATCAATAAGCTTAAAATAGAAGTATTTTAATTTATTAAATTGAAGTTGTTCAGGGTGCTCTTTTCTCTGATATTAGAGAGCAGTGAAGACTTGAAGTGATCACAATAAAATAATATCAATAAATTCCATGTGTTCATGAGGAAGTGAGTGTGGCAAATAGTCTTGCTAGTGTTACAATCAAGTTATAGACTCAACGTTGCGGACCACGTGTCTCCTGTGAACTACTTATGAAGTATGTATAGATAACTAATGCTGTCTATCTCACCCATGCCTATGTGGGATGTTTTAGGACTCATTGGCCTTTGAGGATGTTAATGTGAAGTTCACCAAGGAGGAGTGGGCTTTCCTGGATCCGACCCAGAAGAAAATCTACACAGATGTGATGCTGGAAACCTTCTGGAACCTGGCATCAGTAGGTAGTTATCACAAATTCTATTTTTTCTTTTAATATATTTTTATTGATTTCAGAGAGGAAGGGAAAGGGAGATAGAAAAATCAATGATAAGAGAGAATCACTGATTTGCTACCTCCTGTATGCCTCACACTGGGGATCTAGCCATCAAACCAGGTCTACTGGGAAGTTGATCCCTGACTTCCTGATTCATAGGTTGACCATCAACCACATAGCGACTCTGGCCGGCAACAATTTGTTACTTACTTAGTCAATTGGAAAACTAGTGTTGCTTGCTCATCAATGCTGTTTCAGGAACTGAAATGTGGAAAGGGAATACATTGGTAATTAAACTAGGAATGTTCACAGCTTATTGTGTACCTAAAATCTAACCATTTTAATATTCTTTAATACTTTATAATGTTTTTTTTCTAGCATGTATTTTAGAAGAAAAATGTGAAGACCATGACAGTGAAGATCAGTATGAAAATCATGGGATGAATCTTAGGTGAGTCGCATTGCCATGAGAAAGCAATGTCCTGTAAGAGCATCTTTTTTTTAAATATGGTCTTACAAATATTTATTTTATTTATTCATTTATTTAATATGTATTTATTTATTTCAGAGAAGTGGAGAGAGAGAGAGAGAGAGAGAGAGAGAGAGAGAGAGAGAATGAGAGACAAACATCAATGATGAGAGAGAATTATTGATCGTCTGCCTCCTGCACTCCCCACACTCGGAATCAAGCCCACCACATCGGCATGTGCCCGGACCATGAATCGAAATATGACATCTTGGTTCATATGTCGGTGTTCAACCACTGAGCCATGCCGGTGGTGCGAAATTATGTTTTTATTATTTTACAGTGTGGAGGTGAGAGGGAGAGATTGAAACATTGATTAGCTGCCTCCTGCACATCCTGTACAGGGGATAATAAGTCTGCAACCTGGCCATATTCTCTTTCGGAGAGTAGAACTGGCAACCCCCCTGGAGGGTGGGTCCATGCTGAACCACTGAGCTACATCGACCCAGTCCACAAAACAGTCTTAAAAACAGGTAATCCAATTATATCAGCCCAGTTTTAAATTTATTGATTCTTAGAATTATTTCATCAAAATCTCATTTAAAAAAAATACAGGCCCAAACTGGTTTTGCTCAGTGGATAGAGGTTCGGCCTGCAAGCTAAAAGGTCCCAGGTTCGATTCTGGTCGGGGGCATGTGCCTTGGTTGTGGGTACATCCCCAGTTTGGTGTGTGCAGGAGGCAGCCCTGCCAATGTTTCTCTCTCATCGATGTTTCTGACTCTCTGTCCCTCTCCCTTCCTCTCTGTAAAAAATCAATAAAATACATTTTTAAAAAATATGTAAGTACCATTAATGAATATAAGTGTTTTTATAATATTTATGATCCATTCTACTTCAGAGGTTTTTAGGATATCCACTTTTAAAAATTGAAATGTACAGAAATGCTGCAAATTCCTTGAAAATGGTAAAGATGTCATTATCATACTATCAATAAATATTAAATCATTAAGAGAGTATTAATAATATGCTTCTGATTTTTACAGCAGTCATATGGTAGAGAGACTCTGTAAAAGGAAAGATGGTAGTCAATGCAGAGAAAACTTCAGCCAGATTCCAAATCTTAATGAAAAGAAAGAAACTCCTACAGAAATAAAGAAACCTAAATCCAGGTTGTGTAGGCAAATCTTCATGGGTTATTTATCCTTGAATAACCATCTGAGCGCTCACATTGTACCCAAACTATACCTCTGTCAGGAATATGAAGAAAGCCCTTATAAATGTAAGGAACCTACGAAAGCTTTCAAGTATCACCGATATATTCGGAGACATGAAGGCAGTACCAGTGGGAAAGCTTTCCACTATTCAACTTTCCTTAGAAATCACGAAAAAACGCATATTCCTCAGAAACTGTATGAATGTAAGCAATGTGGGAAAACCTTCAGTAGTCTCAACTCTCTTCGAAGACATAAAAGAAGTCATGATGGAAAGAAGCCTCATGAATGTAAGGAATGTGGTAAAACATTCCTTTTTCGATGTATTCTGCAATGTCATGAAAGAACTCATACTGGGGAAAAACCTTATGAATGTAACCATTGTGGTAAAGCTTTCACTAGGCCAGCTTCCCTCCGATGTCATGAAAGAACTCATACTAAGGAAAAACCCTATGAATGTAAGCATTGTGGGAAAGCTTTCAGTTCTCCCAGCTCTCTTGGGAAACATAAAAAGAGTCGTGATGGAAAGAAGCTGCATGAATGTAAAGAATGTGGTAAAACATTCTGTGATCTACGTGCCCTCCGCGTTCATGAAAGTATTCATACTGGGGAAAAACCTTATGAATGTAAGCATTGTGGCAAAACTTTTTCTTATCCAACTTACCTCCGACATTATGAAAGAACTCATAAGGAAAAACCCTATGAATGTAAGCAATGTGGAAAAACCTTCAGTAGTCTCAACTCTCTTGGAAGACATAAAAGAAGTCATGATGGAAAGAAGCCTCATGAATGTAAGGAATGTGGTAAAACATTCCTTTATCGATATTCTCTGCAAAGTCATGAAAGAACTCATACTGGGGAAAAACCTTATGAATGTAAGCAATGTGGGAAAGCCTTCAGTTATCCCAGCTCTCTTGCAATACATAAAATAAGTCATGATGGAAAGAAGCATCATAAATGTAAGCAATGTGATAAAACATTCCTTTATCAATATTATCTCCAATGTCATGAAAAAACTCATACTGGGGAAAAACCTTATGATTGTAAGCAATGTGGGAAAGCCTTCAGTTATCTCAGCTCTCTTCGAAGACATAAAAAAAGTCATGATTGAAAGAAGCCTCATGAATTTAAAGAATGTGGTAAAACATTCCGTGATTGATGTGCCCTCCGAGCTCATGAAAGTATTCATACTGGGGAAAAACCTTAGGAATGTAACCATTGTGGTAAAGCTTTCTCTCATCCAACTTACCTGTGATATCATGAAAGAACTCATAGTAAGGAAAAACACTATGAATGATAGTGTGGGAAAGCCTTTATTCATCCTAGTTCCCTTTAAATTCACCTAAATAGTCAGTGGAGAGTAAGCATAATGAATGAAAGAATTCACACGGAAAATAAGCCCTATTGTGTAAAGATTGTACAAAAGCCTTTGACCATCCCGATTCTTTTTCTTTTTTTTATACTCACCTGAGGATATTTTTCCCTTAAGAGAGTGAAAATTAGAGAAAAAGAAAGAGCAATATTGATGTGAGAGAAACACATCAATTGGTTGCCTCCTATACACACCTAGAAATGAAAGCACACACAATGGAGAAAAGCTCTATGAATGTAAGGAATGTGTTAAAGCTTTCAGTTCCTCCAATTCTCTTAGGAAGCATGGAAGAACACGTACTGGGGGAAAACCTTATGCAAGTAAACAATGTGGGAAAAGCTTCCGTTGTCTCACACATCTTGGATGACAAAAGTAGTCATGATAGAATCCTCATGACTAAGGAATGAAGTAAATCTCTTTGCCATGCGTTTTCTCTTAGATATGTGAAATGTATACTGGGAAGAAACCCTATGGATGCAAGCGATGTGGGATAACCTATAGTCATCCCAGATCCTTTCAAATTCACAAAAATGCTCATAGTGGAGAGAAATCATATCAATGCAAGGAATATGGTAAAGCCTTTAGGTTTCCAACTAATTTTTACACACATTTGAAAACAAAATGTATTGATAAACACTGTTAATGTAAAGAGTAGCAAAAAGCCTTCATTTATCTCTCAGGTGTGCCATCATGAACTAGTATGATTATCCTTCTTGGGGATGGACCCTAGAAATGTAAGAGGGTTAGAAATCATTCATTTCTTCCAGTTTATTGTGAAGGATGAAGGAACTCACTGAACAGAAGCCCTGTCATGTAAAGATTGTAGAAGTGCCTTTGGCCATCCTAGTTCTTTACAGAACCATGAAGGGCCTCAAGAGTAAGTGTATGAACATATGGAATGTGGGAGAGCCTTTCTTGGACAAGTGAAAATGCAACTGGAGAAATAGTGTGCATATATATATATATACACACACATACACATACATACATAGAAGGTGGGAAAGCCTTCAGCTGTCCCTTTTCCTTGGAAAGGTCATGAAGGAACTCAAAGTGGGAAATTGTATTGAATGTAAAAATGTAGGGAAACCTTCATGTTGCCTCATATCCCTACAACACCATGTGACAATGTACACTGTATAATTGACAACTAAAATAACTTACAATTGTTTTCTAAATTTTATTTTGTCCACTACCATTCATTCCCTCTATGCCCTTTTCCACCCTCCTTCATCCTCCACCACCCATGCAGTCACCACACTTGTCATGTCCATGAGTTCTCTTTTTTCTTTTTTGCTCAATCCCTCCACCTCCCCAGCCTCTGAGCTGAATTCCATTTTTCGCCCATGTCTTCTTTGCGAGCCTAGAAGGTTGGCAGAGTCTGTTCCCATGTTGGTTTGTGCTTAGCATCAGACTTTTTTGCTTTGCTTATATTTTAATCACATTTTTCTTGATTGCTATGAAAAGTCAAAATACAGTGAACCCCCATCTTAAGAAAAGGCATATAAGCAAAACCTCCCCAAGAAAAGGCATGTAAGCAAAACCTCCCCTGATTCTAAAGAGAAATTCTTGGCCTGCAGTCGAGTGAGTTAATTACACATTAAATGCCAGTTTGGGGAAAGGCAAAGTCACTACTCGAGTGAATTGAGAGAATGCACTTTGTTATATTTTTATTAAGTGTTCCTTTCTTCACAGAAAAATAAAATTCTTTGCTGAAGCTTGGAAAGCAGACAAACCTGTGATCTGTGAAGTCTGATGTTTCCAGTAATTCAGATGGGATGGGCTGGAGTGAAGAACAGCATCCTATGGGCCAGAGCATCCTTGGGGCTCCTGGGTTATTGGGACTCCTGCGTGTGTCAGGGGATGATGCTCTCACAGGGATGATTGGATGGTGCTCTCACAGGGTGATGCTCTCACTCTCAATGCAGTGTGCTGGCCCTGCTCTGGGCGCTTGGCTCTGCCCACTCAGATGCCACTGCAGCTCTGACCTCACCAGAGGAAGGGTGCTGAGCTCTCCTTTTCTGCTTAACGCCACTGTCCTAGGCCCTCCTTCCTCTCTTGCTTCCCCATCCCTGACTGTCTGTTTGGGCTGACACATTCCTCTATCCCTCCTGCCAGTGGATCATGGAGCTCCCCAGAACTCTTCTTGTCCTCACCCCAAACCTCTGCATGGTGGTCAATAAGTCTCACCTCCTTCCGTGAGGTATCGGTAGGGAGGCCTGGAGACACAAGTCCTGACCCAAAGCCGAGCTCTGTCCACGGGGCCCTAAAGTCAGGAGTAAATATTGTCATGGAAGAAATGTGTGGGTGACAGCCACTGACCCTGTCTTTAACACAATATGTCTGGAAGAGGAAAAAATGAATCAAAACAACTCTTTTTAAAAATATATATATTTTATTGATTTTTTTACAGAGAGTAAGGGAGAAGGAGAGGGATAGAGAGTTAGAAACATCGATGAAAGAGAAACATCGATTCAGCTGCTTCCTGCACACTCCCCACTGGGGATGTGCCCACAGCCAAGGTACATGCCCTTGACCAGAATTGAACTGGGACCCTTCAGTCCGCAGGCCAACGCTTTATCCACTGAGCCAAACTGGTCAGCGCCAAAACAACCCTTTAGCTCGAATGTGGTTGAGCCTCAGACCCCAGTGCTGAGTGGAGAGCACTGGATTTCTTGCTGCATGTCTGACTACCCTCATCTCTGAGTCCTGGGACCATCCCCTTTTCCCTCAGGGTCCACAACCATCCCAGTGGTACAAGCATGAAGAACGGACCTGGAAGAGCCCAGTGTTGCCAAGACTTAGGACAGACGCAGGGATAGCCTTGTTCTGTATGAGCCTCCCTGTCCAGCCTCCCCTTGTCTCTCCGTCCACACCCACCATGCCATCACAAGGAAGAAGAGAAAGAGAAAAAGTCAGGGTCTCAGGGCCATCCCGAGTGCAGTTATAGTTTTTGAAGGAAGGAACGGAGAAGACCCTCTGGCCTGTTCTGTGCCTATGATTCCAGATCCCCAGGAAGGGCAAGACAGGCTCACCCCACCATGAACCAAGTGTGTTGCTGCCAAGAGGGATGTGCCAAGATCCTGTCCCAGGGGGTGCACCCTGTGCCCTGCTCTCACCACCCCAAGAGGAGAGAAACCAGTGAAGTCTTACTGGCTCCTTCCATCGGCAGTTTCTGCTCATTCTGTTTACATTTCACACAGAGAAAGACTATAATACAAGACTACAATCATATGCTTGAAATTCATTGTTAAATTTAAAGGGAGTTCAATTTTATGGAGACATGTAGTTGCAGTTATTCACTTACTAGAGGCCCAGTGCACGAAATTCGTTCACTGGGGTGGGGGGCGGGGCGGGTGTCCCTCAGCCCAGCCTGCACCATCTACAATCTGGGACCCCTTGGGGGATGTACGACTGCCCTACGGGATTAGGCCTAAACTGGCAGTCAGACTTCCCTCTCACAATCTTGGACTGCTGGCTTCTAACCACTCACCTGCCTGCTTGCCCCTAACTGCTTCTGCCTGCCAGCCTCATCGCCCCCTAACCACTCCCCTGGCAGCCTGATTGACACTTAACTGCTCCCCTGCCTGCCCGACCGCCCCAAACTGCCCTCCCCTGCCAGCCCTTTCGCCCCTACTGCCCTCCCCTGCATGCCTGGTTGCCCCCAACTGCCCTCCCCTGCTGTCCATCTTGTGACGCCCTGGGAATGGCCATCATGTGGCAGCTATCTTTTGATGATGTAGGGGCGGCCATCTTGTGTTGACGTGGGGTGGCCATACTGTGAGGGCATGTCAATTTGCATATTACCGCTTTATTATATAGTATGTAAATGCCTTTTATTATGCAGTAATAGCCAAGTATTATTTTGAAACTAACAGGAATATTGTAAAATTCTGACTCCCTCCAATCCATATGATTCATGTTGCTTATCCACTTGCAACCATTTCTCATTTAGTCGGACGCAGAGTCAAATACAAGGCACTGATTTCAAGTTTCGTTTCATTTCAACAAAACACAGAGTCTTGGTTCAAAGGAAAGGACTTCCAAAAAGTTCTGGTCGTAAGCATTGCTTACAAAGAGCTTTCTTAGAGCCTTAATGGTGACCTGATCAAGTGCACATGGTTCCACATTGCTCTGCAAATCCAGCTACTGAGGGAAGACATTGTGCAAGGGCCCTTGCCAGAGCCTTTCAGACCAACACACATGCTGAAGGGGAGTGGGGGCGCTGGGCCAGGCCCGTCCCAGGTGCTGTTGGGAGCAGGAGGTGCAGCCAAAATGCCTGACGCGGGAACCAGTGGTGGGTCCCACACAGGAGGATCTAAATGATGCCCCAGGAATGGCAGCAGCTATGGGTGCCATCAGGTGGGTGTGTGGCTGCCACATGCGCCCGCCTTGGGGAAAGGCTCGGTGGCTCCACACCTGGTCCCGGGGCTTTCCTTCCTCTCTCTGGACAATCCGGATCCCCTTCCATTTAATCTGCTTCATGCTTCACTGCGTATGCAGTCACTTCAGGTTCTGGCTGGAAGGTCACGGATGCAGGGGAAGGTCTGGAGGACACAGACCCTCCCCAAAGAAAGGGCCTAGCACCTGGAGCATCGCAGCAGCTCTGCGAAGGGCAATGGGGTGAGTGGGACACCTGGGGCAGGTGGTGGGCGAGCGCCCGCCAGAAGCTCTGGTCCTGGCCCGGATGCTCCTGGTGCTGGCCTGGACTTAGAAACGCAGACCAGCACTGACTATGTCCACTCAGGACCGCAGGCCCCTCAGCATTTGAGGCTGATTCCAACCCCACCGGGTGCTCAGGACAGAGGACCATGCGGGTCAGGTAACCGCCCAGCTGAGAGCACATTTTGGAAGTTTGCCAAAACTTACAAATTTTAACAAATACTTTCAGAGTAGCTTGAAAACTGCACTGGAAGGAAATCCTATTAGTGTAACTAACGTACATGTAAGCCTGCTGCAAATGAAGTCATATACTCCCCAGAACTCACAGTATTAAAGAAGTTCTATAAACTTTTGACATATTTGTTCATTATCAGTACTCATTCTTTTTTTGTTAGTTTCTTTAAATTGATGCTTTAGAGTGAGGAAGGCAGAAAGAAGAAGAGGGAAACATTGATGTGAGAGAGAAACACTGAAGGGT